CTCCTCTCCCTCCTCTCCCTCCCCTTCTTCCCCAGCCCACACTCCCTCTCCTCCCCACTCCTCCTCCAACCTTCCCCACTCTGCTGCCTCCCTGCTAACCCCTCCCTTCTCCTCCTCTTCTTGCCCAGCCTTCTTGCCTCCTCGGCCGCACTCAGTTGTGTGGCTTCGTCTCATGCACCCTGCAAGGGGCGAGGATCCACGGTTGGAACTAGAAAGAGGTGAATTTCCAATCGACACAGTCCCAGCTGCTAGTGCTGCCAGCACTCCTCCTGGCACTCTCGCAGCAGCAGCAGCTGCTTCTCTAGCTGCGGCTGTGACTGCCGCTGCATCTGCAGACCCTGTTCTCATGTGGCGTGCCAGCAAACGACCGTGCATGCTGCTTCCACTCCCTCTCCCCACTCTCCCTCCCCCCACCTCCTCCCTCCCACACCCCCTCCCTCCCTCCTCCCCCTCCTCTTCATCCCGCATCCCATCCCTCCCACCTATCATCCTCCTCCCCTCATCTCTCTCCCTTCTCTTCCCTTCCACCACACACTCCTTCTCCGGATTCTCTCTCCCCGCCCCATCATCCGCCCCGCCTGCTTCGCGGTACCACCCAGCAACAGAGGACGCAACAGGGGCGCAATACAGGTCATCCCCGTCGCCCAAAGAAGCCCGTCGTACTATTCGCTTCCCTCCTGCTCGTCTTGCCTCCCCTCCTGCTGACCCTCTTGGTACAACTGCTGCCGATACCACACCTGCACCAGCAGCAGCAGCAGCAGCGGCGGCGGCGGTGGCGGCGGCAGCAGCATCAGTTGCACCCACCCTCTCCCTCATAGACCCAACCGCACCCCGTCCTGCCTTCGCCAGTGGACTGCCCCTGTGGGGAGAACTGTGCCCGTGTGTCTTCCTTCCCTCCTGCTGCTGTTCCTGCTGCTGCCTTTGCCTCAAAAGAAGCTGCTGCTGCTGCTGCTGCTGCTGCTGCTGTGAGAGCATGTGCTGGGTGCTGTTAGCACTCTCTGGGGGCATAAACCCCACATTTTGTCCCCTGGGAGTGAGAGACGCGGTGCCTGGGCGGGGATTGGGAGGAGTCTCATAGGACGAAGCTCGAGGTACAGGACCACTGAAAGAGTGCAGAACAGATATGTAATCAGACTGCTGCTGCTGCTGCTGCCGTGGATGCTGCTGGAATTGTGATTGGGAGATGGAGCCTGACTGGGTGTTGGAGAGAAGGAGCTGCCGATACGCATCCCCCACTGGCCCTGACAGCACCCCATTGCGCAGCATCTTTAGCTTCTCTGCTTGCTCCCACGCACCCTGCTGCTGCTGCTGCTGCTGCTGCTGCGTGAAAGGGGAATAGGGAGTGCTGGGATGGGGGGAGAGAGGGGAGGGAGCGGCTGGGAAGATGTGGGTAGGTAAGCTTCCAACAGTAGCACTGCGTCCGCACATAGGCTGATGGGCAATGGTGGCAGCAGCAGCAGCAGCAGCAGCAGCAGCAGCAGCAGCAGTGTCGCCCCCCACAGAAATCCGGTGCAGATGGGCATTAGCTGCAGCGAGTTGTGCCGCAAGAACAGCAGGGCTGGGGAAGTGGGACGAGGGTGGGCGGTTGGGGAGGCAGGTGGAGGGGAGAGTGGGAGGGGAGAAGTGGCGAGCAGATGGAGGGGTGTGAGGAGGTGGAGGGGTGTGGGGAGAGGCGCCCACGGTGACACAGCGTCGATGCAAGGCAGGCGGCGGCATGGATGCACTTTCTTCCCATGGAGCACCAGCAGCAGCAGAGGTAGGAACGGAACCAGCACCAGCAGCAGCACCAGCAGCACTGCCACCGAACGTACAGCTGCTGCCACTGCTACTGGTGCTGCTGTCGAAGCTCCCAAACGAGCCCCTGCGGACCCTTCCTGTGGGCTTGTCCCTCCCTGCAGACTTGTCCCTTGCAGACTCAGCAGCAGCAGCGGTGGAAGCAGAGGTGAAGGCGGAGGTAGAGCCTCCCGAGGAGGAGGACTTCCGTCTCTGCTTCGGGGGGGCTGCATGGCCGCGGGAGTTGATGGTGGATGCAGACGAATCCACTCCGTCCTGCTGCTGCTGATGGGAATGGTGGTGCCGCTGCTGCTGCTGCTGCTGTTGTCCCTTGCTCGCACCTGCTGCTGCCGTTGCCACTGCAACATGTGGCACGAAAACTGGAGGAGGGCTCAGCAAAGGAGCAAAGGAGGAAGAGGTAGATGCAGAGCCGGGAAATAAGGGCACAGAAGAAGAAAGCTCCAGATCCTCCTCCTCCCTCTCCTCCTCCTCCTCCACCTCCTCCTCCTCCCTCTCCTCCTCCTCCTCTTCCTCGTCCTCCTCTTCCTCGTCCTCCTCTTCCTCGTCCTCCTCTCCTCCTCCCACTCCCACAATAACACCCATCCTGCCCGCTCCCTGTCCCTTCCCCCTCGCGCCCCCCACTCCCCTCAGCACCCTCACTCGCCCAGTACCCTCCTCCAATGCACGACTGCCCCTGCCACCCTCCTCTGCGCCCATATTCCCCCCCGTTGTGGCTCTCCTTGTCACCATCACCCCTATTCTCCCCGCTCCCCTTCCCCCTCCCCCTCCCCCAGCCCCTCTCCCTCCTCCCCCTGCTGCCGCGTGTGCCATGGCCGCTGTCAAGGCTTTCACGCCCCTTGCCCTTCGCTCCACCATGGAGCCCCCAACAGGGATCCTCCCTTCTAAGAGCCCAGCTTCTTGCTGCTGCCGCTGATGAAGCAGCAGCTGCTGCTGCTGCTGCAGCTGCTGTTGTGGTTGCGCATGCCATTGGGAGGCCTGCGCATGTTGCAGCAACTGCTGCAGGTCCCTCCACTGGGGCAGGGATACGTCAGAGCACACAGTGGAAGATGTGGATGCTGACGTGGGGAACACTGGAAACCCATGCTGCTGAATCTGCTGCTGCTGAATCTGCTGCTGCTGCTGCTGCTCGTGCCACTCCTGTGTCCCCCCCGCTTCCACCTCCCGAAAATCCTGCTCCATTCCAGAAGCACCGACAGCACCACCCGCCCAGCCAGCAGCAACACCAACACCAGCACCAGCAGATGCACCTACTATCGTCCTGCTATCTTTCCTTTCTGCAAACGACCTCTGTTGGATGCTCCCATGCATGGCTCCCCACCCTCGCTCTCCAACAGACACTGCTTTCGCCCCACCAATCGCCCTGCTACTACTGCTGCTGATGTCATTGTCGCAACCAACAATGTTCCCCGGCATACAAGCATTCCCAGTCGCAGCGCTGCCAGCAATATAGCCCCCATCCACCCCGCTGCTGCTGCTGCGCCTGTGCAGCTGAGTCAGCGCCTGCTGCTGCTGCTGCTGCTGCTGCTGGTGATGCAGCAGCAGGGGGTCAGGGGTGAATGGGCGGAAGGGCAGAGGACCCGAATGGCATCCTTGCATCAGCTTCAGCATAAATTCCGCCTGCTGCTGCTGCTGCTGCTGCTCGGGTGGCATGGCGAAAGCTTGCGCAGGCACGAAAACAGGCATCTCTAAAGGTCTCGGGGAAGCAGTCCTGCTTCTGCCCTCGTTGAAGCTCTCATGCACACGCCAACCGCTCCCACTGCTGCTGCTACACTGGCCGCCCTCTGAACCCCCATGCTCGGATGCCGCCTCTGGTGCTGCTCCCAAGGGATTCTCCCCATGCGACCCTCCCCTCCTCCTCTCCGCCTTTTTCCTCTCAGTGCCATTGCCACTGCTGCCGCTGCCGCTGATGCTGCTGATGCCAGTACTACCCGAAACAGCACTGCTGCTGCTGCTGCTGCTGCTGCTCCGGGTGCTCCTGTCCCTGCTGGTCCCACTGACTGTACTGCTGCATGCAGGACGAGCCCGGTTGTTGCCGTCAGCACCGTCCCCATCGCCATCAGCGTCACCAACACCATGGGGATGAGCAGACGCATGAGAGTGAGGGTGAGAATGCGAAAGAGTATGAGCAGCACGAGCAGCACGAGCAGCAGGAGCAGCGGATGAGTCGAGTTGCTGCCCGTCTTGCTCGTCTTGCCTGTCTTGCTCGGCTTCCTTCTTCCCCAGCGCAGCAGCGTACCTCGCTTGAAGAGCCCTCTGCAACTCCTCTACCGCACTGCTGCTGCTGCTGCTGCTGCCGCCGCCGCTGCTGCTGCTCCTGCCATACCCACCTCGCGAGCACGCTTGCCCCTGCCCGTGCCCATTCCCATGCCCATGTCCCTGCCCATGCCCATGCCCATGCCCATGCCCATGCCCATGCCCATGCACATTTCCTTTCTCTCTCTCCTTGCTCCTCCCCCTATCTCCCTCCTCTTCTCCATCCTTGCGCTTATCCTTTTCTTTCCCTCTCCCCTTCTCTTTGATCACCCGTTCACCTACCCTGCGCACCTTACTCATGTCTCTCTCCTTCTCTCTCACCTTCTCCTTGTCCTTTCCCTTCTCCACCTCCCTCTCCTTCCCCTTCTCTTTCCCCTTCCCCCCTGACTTGCGCCTTACAACCCCATCCGGCTCTCCTTGCCCCTCCGCCTCCTCTGGGTTTGCATCGTCCATTCCCTCATCACTCTCCTGCGCCATCCACACCATCATCATCTGCTGCAGCTGCTGTTGCTGCTGCTGCTGCAGTTGCATAAAAGTGGGAGGAGCTAAGGGAAAAGCAGCTGAGCCGTTTGGCGTTAAGCTTCTAGGGGTCAGACCAATAGGTGTAGTAACACCTGAAGGTGCAACGCCACTAGGGGTCAGGGACCCTCCGCCTCCGTGGGACCATATATCCACATCCCCGCCCATCCCATATGTCCCTTCTCCCCCCCACCAGCCCTCCCCTTCCGCGTGCGCCCATGGCGCTTGCCCGTGTCCTTGCGCCTGCGCCTGAGCCTCCGCCCCCATCCACTGCACCCCTTGCGCCATCAGCATTGGCGCAACTTCGCGCGCGCCTGCCCCTTCCTGCCCAAGAAGCGACTGCTGCGCCATGCCTTGCCACGTCACATGCGCGTTTTCCGCCACTGCTACCACCGCGCGTTCCCCCACCTGCCACCGCCGCCGCTGCTCCGCGCTCTCAGCACCCGCCGCCACGCCCGTTGGCTCGTTATTGAGTGCTGCGAGAAGGTCATAAGCCTCAATCAACCAACGCGATACTATACCCGCTACTGTTACTACGGCCTGATCCTTCAATTCCCTACCGTCCCAACTCCCCCCCCGCCTGCTCTTTCCCGCCGGCGCCCCACTGCTACTAGATTCTCCCCCGCCCTTGCGCCCACTGCTAGGGTTCCATACGGCTCGCCCGAGCTTCGTACATGCGTCTACTGCGGCGGCGGCGAGAGGATGGTCGCTTGCGATGCCTACGATCTTCCACGACAGCTGCCCCGTCTTCTTGTCCACCAGCGGAAACGTCGCCAGCGGTCGAAGAGGCGACATGTGCAGCGCCGTGCGACGCATCGTCGAGATCTCCACCGCCTCCACCGGCAGCAGAGCCGCAGCCGCGGCGCCGGCGGCGGCGGGGGCGGAGGGGGAGAAGTCTAGAGCGGCTGCCGCGGCAGAGGAGCTCAAGAGAGCGTGCAAGGCGCCGCCTGGAGCCCACATGATCGTTCGCGGCAAGAACCCCGCGTTTATGCGACACATGCTGGTGCTGTCGCCGGCGACAGGACTGTCGCACGGTCGCAGGCAAACGAAGGTGACCGCGACGCCGCCGCTGTTGTCGCCGCCGCCGGCGCGACTGGTCGAGGAGCCAGGACCGGCTTGGCGCGCAGCGGAGGAGGTCGAATTGGAGGAGGAGGACGGTGGGCCAGAGGCGGGGAAGGGTTGGCCCAGAGCGGTTGGTGGTGCCATAACCGTCGAACTTCAGCAACAAACCGGTCGGCTGACGTGGCCATGCTGCCGTCGCGCTGACTTGGCCGGTTACTTACACTACGGTGAGCGCTGTTTTCGGCGGTTATGGCGGTTCCGGCGGTGGCGGTGGGGGTGGCGAGAGTAACAGTAGGGCAGGTGCGACAGATATGCGCGGGAAGGACGAGTGTTGGCGGCATGGAATGTTGTGACTGTGAGGGGATTATGCAAGGTCAGGGTGCGACCTAGGGGAGACGAAAGATGAGGGAACCGCCAGCGCGACGGGAGCGATTTGATGGAGTTATTTCGTGAACTTGAAGAAACGTGCCCGTTGATAATTGCAGCTTAGATTCATGCTAATATAGCTATGGAGTTTAGCACTAGGTGCTTTTGTAACCGCATCGCTATCACCGCAGCCAAGTGCCAGCTATGAGAACAGGGGCAGGGCCGCTCTCTCACTCGGTGAATTATGTACCACGAGGCAACCCGAGGGAAGAGATGACATGGGGCAATGAGGAACGACAAGACGAGAGCAACCACTTATGCTACTGCTGGCAAAGTTTGGATGGAGGAGTGGACGGCCAGTCTAGGAGCTGAGAAGAGAGAGCCTTCCTACCGACGCGGCAGCAAGTGGGTGGTTTTGATTCCCACAGCACGGGAGAAGTGCGAGCAGCGCAGGAAGGATCTCAGGTGTGAAAAGAAGATACTGTAGACAGCGTGGGAGTTCCCAAGGGAGGAGATTTCAAGGGTGAAGTTCAGTGGAGGAGATCGACGGTGGAGATCGGGCCTCGAGGCGAATATCTATGACTTTGAGGGCGTATTCTGGGGTGAGTGTCAGACCCGCCGCAGACCCCCGGTCGAAGGAGCCGCGGATTGTCACAACCTAACTGCGGGTTTAGTTTGATTGACGGCGCATCAGCGAAACAGCGTCGATTTGTCGCAGGCGTAAAATACGACTATACAGCTGACTCAGCGGCCAAGTGGGTTTTGTCCCATCTGACTCAGCACATGATCGAGGGCCTGTTGCAGTTGAGCTTAACTGGTATAACATTGGTGGACGATGATTCGTGCGAATTCTGAGATGTTATGGTTGTCGGCTACCTGGCAGACACCATCAGTTTTTCCTTCGACCGGAGGCATTTTCTTCCCGGCCTGGGGTCTTCACCCTAAACCCGAGGGTCAGACGCTCGCTGCGGAATTCTCCCTGAATGAAGGGCGGATGCAATCGTGGAGGTGGCGGTTGTGGCCTCATGCCAGGTTCGGCCCCGGTGGACGCGGGCTGGCGCTGCGACGAACGTGAAGAGGGCTGGTCAGAATACAAATTGCTTTACCCTGCAAAAGACAGGGCCCGCATCTATAATTGGGGTAGTGTTGGAAGGCATCTGCGGAACAATTTTGTTGATAAGGAAAATCAGTTTCAGTTATGATTACGAAGAATACCAGTGTTCAAATAATTCCCAGTCCTTGGACTCGAGTTGCGAATATTCAGATAGTGTAAAGGGTATCGAACAAATTAATCCTGTGGCTGATAGGGCGACGCGAAGGAACACCAAACCAGACCAGGCCAGAACCACTCACGCATGCAGCCATCCACGCCATGCCATCATTATGGCACCACCCCAGGCAAACACTCACTCCCTAAATCCCTCAATTCGTCGTCACCCCTTCGCAGACCGTCGTGATGACACTCCAAGTCAACCAACGAACGACCTCAGGTCAGGTCCCGCTGACCGACGGATCGGACGGCCGATGTCGGTCGCACGGCCCCGCCCAGACTGTTACAGTTGCTGTGGCTGTCGCTCGCGGAATTGCTAACCGGCCAGAATATGCTGGGAAATTGCACCTACATTTTGCCACCCTCCACCACTTTCGTTTTTCTGGTTTCGCAGACCCAAACGAGACCCAAGCTGTTTTCGTTTACGCGCCAAAAAATATACCTCCAACCGTCCCACCAGCTGGGCCTGAGGAACCGCCCCCTCTGCATACAGCTGGGTGAGATCCTGTTTGGATTGGAAAGACACGCATCACTCAGACCTCAGCTCAGGGTGCTGCTCAGTTCATGCCTCTGCAGTGTGAGCTGTCACGGTGTTCTCAGTATTACATGCTACATCTCCTGGGAAAAGATCGGCTGTACCAATAATTTCTAGCCATCATATCGTCTTGCCCTAACTGTGAGCTTATCTAGAAGACTGCAACAGAACAATGACTTATCATGGCCTGCTTGTGCAAGCTCAGCAATGTCTTGTGTTGGCTGGCAGGGCAATCACCCAGCCCAGTCTTCACAACCAGAACATCTTCGACCAAAGTAACCTGCCCAGTGTCATGTCCTGTCACTCAGTGTCGCTTCCCCTCCCGCTCATCCCACGAAGCCCCCTGGCTTTCTGCAAGCATAACAGGGAGATTGACAAAGGACACCATAAAGTGCAGTTCAGTGAACTGAAGATACAAGGCATGTTCAAGCCAGATTGGAAAAAACAGCTAAGTGCAACAATGAGCACGGGTATGGGATAATTGGGGCATGTGTGCAACAAAACAAAAGTCGTCAGTGATTGCAGGAAGCAGGCATGTGAATGCAGCCACATCCAAAGGCATCCTCTGTACCTTCTTGGACTTGCGCTCTCTGACTTGATACCGTTCGCAAGTAACTCCAGTCAGCCAAGCGCCGGGTTGCAGACGCTGCCACGAAGAACGGGGAAAGGAAAGAAACACCAGAGCCAAAAAAAGTAGCAATGAAACCCAAAATCTTGAAGCAGCAAAATGCACAGGCGGAAACAGAAACGCCAGCCCCGTCCTTCACTGCCAGTTAGCTGCCTGTTTGTTATCCGGTGCTACTCTCAGTCAGCAATGCCTACCTGGAGCCCCTTTTCCACTGCCTTGGCTCTCTTCTTCGGCCTCAGCGGCAGCCTCCCTCCTCGAATGGCCCAGAAATCCTCCTCCTTCTCAATCCGCGACAGGCTGATCAGAAACTTGGGGACCACAAACGCTGCTTCTGCTGCTGTCGGCAGTGCCGCAGCTGCTGCTGCTGCCGCTGCCGCTGCTGCAGATGCCGCAGAGAGAGGGCAATGACCAGAGAAGATCAACGAGGCCACGGAGGGGTGTGGCGTGCTGAAGAGATCTTCATAGCTTTGGATCAGCCTGCAGCTGCTGTGATCCTCCCACTGATCCTCGCCTGCCAGTACGGCGCTGCTTGACTTGCTGCCAGCCTTACGGCCCTTCTCCCCGTGCCGGATGTTCTTCCGCTCCTTGCCTCTCTCCCTGTCTCGCCCCTTGTGCTCCCGCGCGTTTTGCGGCTGGCCATGATGCCGCTTTCGCCTGGCGTAGCTGCGAGTGGGGCACGAGTCATCATCACTGAACGCCCCCTCCCCCGCATCTACCTCGTATCCTTCCGCCTCGTCCGCATCACCACCAGAAACATCAGCATCAGCATCAGCATCAGCATCAGCATGAGCATGAGCATCAGCGTAAGCATGAGCCCTAGCGCCGTCGTTAACGTCATCCACGCGCTGCTGCTCGTGCTGCTCCCTGGAGCCTCGCCCACGAGCCTCTTTCTCACCCCTCGTGCAAAGGCCAGGCAAGCTCGGCTCGTGGTTGCGCGCACACGCACGCTTAGCCTTGCAAGGGTAAGAAAACTCCATAGATCTCGCGGCTAAGGCAGACGAGCCACGCCCAGCCTCTTCCTTTACCGCTTCCTCCCCCATCCTGCTTGCCTCTGCTCCACCCCCCTCCGCACCTTCCACACCCTCCGCTCCTTCCGCTCCCTCCATCGCACGCGCTTCTGCGCCCTTCTTCGTCCCTTTCAACAACCCGCAAGCGTCCTCTCCCGCTCGCTCGCCGCTCTCCCTCCACTCCTCCTTCCACCCGCCTTTCTTCTCGTCCCTCCACGCGGCATAGCCTGCAGGGCCCGCTTCGATGCTCGTCACAGGAGCGCCAGCAACCAAGGGCGGATGCGAGGGCGGGCTGCTGCCGGCTTGGTTCTGGCTGCGCACGTACCGCAGCCGCTTCTTTTGTCCCCACCGTAGCACCTCGCACACGGATTGGCTCTCGCCTTCCGCCGCTGCGTCGGGACTGCGCGCCGCTGTGCGTTCTGCTCCGCGCTCCTCCTGCGCTGCTCCGCTCTGGCGCAGAGCGAACTTCTCCGCCGCAAGCGAGGCCGCGAATGCGTCGGGGGAGTCCGAGAGCGGAGGGGATTGTGCGGCGGCGGCATCAGGGTGATCCCAGCTCTTGTCCTGGGAGCTGTGGCTGCCGTGACTGGGGGGACTGCCGATGGTGATGCTGGTGACCGGGCCCTGAGGCAAGCTGCAGAAGGTAACGCCAACGCCGAGTAGCAGCCCTGTTGAAGATGGGCTGACTTCGGCCGCCATGGCTGGATGAACCACGCGATAGGGCCACGCAATAGAACCACGCGAAAGAGGGTTCGTATGCGGGTTCGGAGGGTTCGGATAAGGGAGGGATAAAGACCCCTTAACGGCGATTTGGTGTGCTGGCGATGCGCAGATTTGTCCGACTTGATAATTTGAAACTGAGATCTCCCGGAAACGGATCACGGTGAGCCGTCCGATGGTCCGAGAGGGATCCGCGCGACTATGAACACAATGAAACTCTGCGAGGGAACGGGTTGAATGGTAAGTAAGAAGGGATAAGGAAATCGGAAACGGACACATGACGCGGAAGCAAACCAGCGAAGAAGGAGAAGAAAACGTTCCCATAGCAGGAGGATAAAAAATGTGAGAAGGGAATCCGTTTGAAGGGTATGAATTCCACCTGACTGCCAGCTAATGTCTCGAAGCCGATTTCACTGCTACGCCTAGCTTCTCGTGAATCGTTCGTTAGTCCAAAAGAGTCAACGAAGGAATGTTCGTTCTTGACAACTGTATGTCAAAACACCAAAGCGGTGGCTTGAGAAACACGCGGATCAAGAAACAGCGATGGGTTTCCACACGCTGCTGCGAAAACTTACGAAGAACGTGAACCGTGACCTTGTGAAACGACGCTTCCTGAAGGACGGAGACGTCGCCGGATGCTCCGCCGCGAATCACGGGTTCTCAAACGTAGGTGCGAGCACGAAGGCGCAAGAGACCACGACGACTCGTTCGCAAAGCCTCAGAGAAAAGCTCTTGGCGAGAAAGGTCATCCAGGTGGTGCTGGTGGCCAGATTCGCGAGAGAGCAAGGTCTGAACCAGCAAGGATGCTACTAGGAGCGGTAAGGAAAGGTGGAAACTACCAAACAAAGGTAAGGAGGAGGAGCCACTGGTAGAAGCAAGCATAATGCAAGACGGATGGAAGGAAATGAGAATGACAAGGGGGGTTTGGCGTGAAGGTCCCTTTACCCTGCCTCAGACGTGCCTTGTCTCCTGCCTCGTCCCGTTCCGTCGCGTTCCGTCCGTTCCGTTCTGTTCTGTCAGCCTGCATCAGCAGCAGCACCTCCGTCATCACCAGCCACCCATTCCCCGCGCCCCACCATCCGCGAATCTGAGTTTTTGTTTGGTGCAGTGCGTTGGGGCATGGTACCGGTGATGAGGTGTGGATGGGATGGGATCATGGGAGACATCAGGGGAAGACAAACCCCCCCTCCTCTGCCAGTCAAGGCCCCCCCCCAACCCCACCCCCCCCACCCCAGTCGAGCAACACACACATGGCATGGGTGGGTGAGGCAGCGGGGGAGAAGCTCAGCTCAGCTCAGCACATGCCACAGCGATGAGATGACCCTTGATGGAAACGAGGGATCGCCTGAGAGCTTGCCCTTGAAGCTGCGGCCTCTGTTCATTGGCTGGAAAAAAAGCATGGGCGGCTCGCCTCCCCTGCCTGCCTACCTTCTCACCCGCGGCAGGAAACAGTAACAGAGACTTCGCAAAGGTGGGCGAGATTCGCACAGCGCCAGGTGGAGTTACGTTTGCGACGTGTCGGCTCCAGGATGTTACGGTCACCAATACCAAGCTGCGATTCGGTAACGGTCACGATTCCTCCAAGTCCCACTTTAGGAAATGGTATTTCCTTATCATAGGTTTTAGGATATATGACCCTAGGGTCTTTTTTCGTATACTACCTAAAAAGGGAGGTGATTCTTGTAAGGAAAACTGAAAACAAATTACCCGGGTGTTTTCTCGTACACATAGAATTCAAATTTCTTCGTGTAGTTATGTTAATCGTTTACCTTCCTGGCTCATTGTCGAGTACTCAGGCCCAATCTCGCTATTTTGTGTGCAAAAATCAAGCTGTCACGACATGTTGGAATCACATTCGTTCAAGTGGGCATTAGATATGGCAGGAAAACCCTGTTAAATTATATAGGTTATATATAATTGTAGGCTTGGTAGGTGTTATTGGAACCTACTGTAGAGGGTACAACTCTCTCCTTGTATCCCTCTCTCTTCTAATCTTATTCTCTTTTCTCTCAATATTCTCCTTCCTAAACCTCTCGCCATTCTATGGCGTCTCTTGCTACCTAGCTATCTCCTTTAACAGTTTCTACTTTAACATGGTATCAGAGCAGGTTGCCCCTCCCGGGCCTGCTCCCCACGCTTCCGCCGCGTACTCGCCCAATGTTGTAGAAGACTAAGTATAAAACTGCAAACACGAACACTTGGAAATCCTCAAGTGTTGGTCCAGGATCTTTACTGGAATGGTAGACTAGTAAGACAGCGGAAGTCTTGTAAGAATGAACCTGAGTATATGTTTCTGCAGAAGTTTAAGTCTCTAAGTTCTCAAAGTTGAAATCTCAAGGTTAACAATGAAAAGAACACAACAAATATTTATAGCTCTAGGAAAGTACCTATTCGCTAATGTACATGTTCATCACTATCGCGCTATGCGCTCTAAACGATAATGAAGAGGTGCGACTGTTCGCGTGACTGAAAACGACTGTCCTATGACGAGCGCTATTTGCTGACGTCATCTTACTGACTTGTGTTCTACAGTAGGATTCGACACTATCTACACTTAATCGACTTACAGAAATGCTAAGTATCAATTATATCACAACACTCCCCTTCATTTCTGGAAGTTCGATAGTGCCACTTCTTGAAGATCCCGCAAAGCTTGTTACAGTACTGGAACTTTCGTCGCGTCAGCTTCTTCGTGAGGAAATCAGCAGCCATTTCGTTGGTCGAACAGTAGACCAATCGCATCCTCCCTTTCTCGACTTCATCATTGACGAAAAAGTAACGCAGAGAAATATGTTTCGTCCTGTTGACGAAACCAGGTTGGTGCGCTATGCGAATTGCACTTTGGTTGTCGCACTGCAGGGTAAACTGGGTAGTTGTCGTCAACTTCGCTTCTTCCAATAGTTCCGGTAAGTAAAGTCCTTCTTGTGTTGCTGTACAGACAGCGATGAACTCAGCTTCAGCAGAGGAGAGAGCAATCAACTCCTGCTTCGTCGAATTCCAAGAAATAGGTCCGATAGGTTCAAGCCGGTAGATGAATCCAGTGCGCGACCGTCGATTAGTAGAGTCAGTAGTGTGATCGGCGTCGACGAAACCGTATAGGTATAGTGTTTTACAACCGATGGCGTTGTAGACTAAACCGACATCAGGAGTCGAGATGAAATATTGAAGCGCGCGAAGAAGATCAAGGTGGTGCTCCTCTTCAGGACGGCGTAGGAACTGAGCGAGCTGACTAGCCACGTAGGCCAGATCTGGACGACAAGTAACAGCGGCGAAGAGTAAACAGCCTAACTGCTGTTGATAGGTCTGTACACCAGTTGAACTTAACAGTGCAGTGTTCGGTTTGTGGTCAGTCGGTAGTGAGCGGTACGGTGTAGAGACTGCAGTAGGAGTGAGATTGAAGCGGGCAGCGAGCGTCGCTGCGTACTTCGAAGCAGTGAGGTGAATCGTTGTTGGTGAACATGTAATATTTAGACCGAGAAACTGTGAAACTGTTTCTGTAACTGTACGCTGTAGGTTTTTCTGTAGTTTCAGCATGAAGATATCGGCGAGCGAATCAGTAGTGCTGACGTAGAGAATGTCATCGACGTAGGCGACGAGTTAAATATAGTTACTGCCGTCGGTTAGAAGATACATTCCCTGGTCATGCGGTAACTGACGAAATATGGCAGTGATCAGCTGTGAGTGGAGATACTGCTGCCAGAGCCGTGGTGCATGTTTAATGCCGTACAGCGATTTTCGGAGACGACATACGCTCAGTGGGTTAGTAGTATAGGAATGCGGGTACTCTACCAGAATGAGTGCGTTGACGGCCGCGTAGAGAAACGCATTTGACACGTCGATTTGTCGAAGTCGCAGATTACGGCAGGCGGCGACATAGAGTAGAATCTAAACGCTTGTATGTCGACCGACAGGAGCAAAAGTTAGCTCATAGTCGATGCCGTAAGTCTGCTCGAACCCGCGGACGACCCATCGCGCCTTAAATTTCTCAAACGACCCATCTGCATTAGTCTTGACGCGGAAGACCCATTTTCCGGTAAGTATCTTCTTCCCTATTGCTTCTGAAGTCAGTACCAAATCCCATATGCCACGATTCTTAAGAGCTGCGAGCTCCTTGTCCATGGCTTCGCGCCATTTTTCTCGGTGAGGGCTCGTAAGAGCTTGTCGAATGGTTTTCGGTTCAGGTATCTTACTGTCGTTGTACTGTACTGCTACTGCAAATCCAAGTATCTGTAAGCCAGTTTCTGTAAAACGCTGACGTTCTTCATTTGCACCTGCGAAATTTTCCTCTGGTCCTTCTTCCCCCCCAATTTCGTCAGGTGTAACATGAAACTGCTTCGTCGAAGATGGCAGGCATTGGTTGCTGTTGACGATCGCGTTCGTAACTGAGATGGACTTCGCGAACGTCATCTTGGTCAGCATCTGCAAGAGGAATAAACTCTGGTATGCCAGTCGAGGTTACAGGTTCGGGAATATCAATTGCAACAGCTTCGGATGCTTCAGAAACTGCTTCGTCCTGTACATCAGCTTCGGCTTCGTCAGTTGCAAATGCACGCGAGCCTTCGAACAGCCTGGCGGGGTTGGCAGCTGCTGCCTGGTGGGCACGAAAAACGGGCAAGGTGAGTCTTTCATAGAAGAGGCAATCACGTGATGGGACGATTTGGTTGGAGTGAAGATCCAAAATCTTCCAGGCATGATACTATTTTTCGATGCCAAGATGTACCCCCCATTTTGCTCGTTCGGAAAACTTCCCGAGTGCTGCAGTAGGAGGACGAAACTGTACAACACACCCGAAAACTCGTAAAAGTTTGGTACTTCCCACTGTTCATGTCCACTGCAGGTGTGGAGAAGAGAACTCGGGCAGGGATGTTGAAGACAGAATGTTGTGTAACAGCACGGCGTGGTCCATCGCATACGGCCAAAAACGAGGAGGAAGAGCTGCCTGCGTCAGCAGCGCACGCATCTTCTCCTGCAGTGTTCGGTTTATCCGTTTCGCTACCCCCATCTGCTGGTGTGCATGCGGCAGTGACTGCTTTTATTGTCTGAAGGTATTCAGTGAAAGTGTTGCTGGTGTACTCCCCTGCACCATCACTCTAAAATTCTTGCAGTTTCACGCCTGACTCTCGTTCAGCGACAGCGAGCCACGCGACGAAGACAGAGTGAGCTAGATAACGAGCGGGAAGGTTTGCTATCCAGACGTAGCGTGTAGAGGCTTCAATGAAGGTTATCACGTACTACCCCTCTTTAGGTCCTGCTTCAGGTAAGTTTAGTATATCACTGTAGACTTTCTGCATCAGTTTATAACGTGTTGAGCCAGGAAAATGACTTGGAAACGGATTGTGGGTAAGATTGGCGACTGGGCACGTGGTGCAAACCGTCGGACGAGACTGCGGCTTCATCTCCGTGCCGTCAGGTAAGAGAAGACTACTCTTATCAAGAACGGCTGCTCGGATTGAATGATTAAGTATCCCTTGTGATGGATGTCCTAACCGCTGATGTCAGATATCTTCTGAAGTTGAAATCTCAAGGTTAACAATGAAAAGAACACAACAAAGATTTATAGCTCTAGGAAAGTACCTATTCGCTAATGTACATGTTCCTCACTATCGCGCTATGCGCTCTAAACGATAATGAAGAGGTGCGACTGTTCGCATGACTGAAAACGACTGTCCTATGACGAGCGCTATTTGCTGACGTCATCTTACGAACTTGTGTTCTACAGTAAGATTCGACACTATCTACACCTAATCGACTTACAGAAATTCTAAGTATCAATTATATCACAACATGAATCTGATTCGTTCAAGTGGGCATTAGATATGGCAGGAAAACCCTGTTAAATTATATAGGTTATATATAATTGTAGGCTTGGTAGGTGTTATTGGAACCTACTGTAGAGGGTACAACTCTCTCCTTGTATCCCTCTCTCTTCTAATCTCATTCTCTTTTCTCTCGATATTCTCCTTCCTAAACCTCTCGCCATTCTATGGCGTCTCTTGCTACCTAGCTATCTCCTTTAACAATTTCTACTTTAACATGGTATCAGAGCAGGTTGCCCCTCCCGGGCCTGCTCCCCACGCTTCCGCCGCGTACTCGCCCTTCTCTCGTCACTTCCGTGCCGCCGTGGCGGCCATGCCGAGCTGCCAGGGCGGCTTCGTCGTGCTGCCGTCGCAGCCCCGACGCGTTGCCGTAGCGTCGACGCCACGCCGTGACGACGCCGTCGTGCCGCCGTGGGATAGTCAACGTGCCGCCGCGGCATCGACGCCGCGCTGTGACGGCGTTGTCATGCTGCCGTGGCGGCGTCGTCGGGCGACAGCGGGTCGCACAACGTTTTAGGCGCCACCAGCTCGCCCGCACATCAGCCAGCGCCGTGTCAGCCACGGCGTCTTGCTGACGCCATGCCACCTTCCCTGCACCACCCCTAGTTCCAGCCGCAAATACTGAGTCTCTTCCCTGTCGTCGCCGGGCCGTGCCATGCCGCGCGATTTTCGCCGTCGCCGCCGCCGTCACTGCCACCGCCGTCGACGCTGCCGCCGCCGCCGCCGTCGACAATGCCGCCGCCACTGCCGCCACTAACGCCGTTGCCGCCACCCGCCGGGGGTGTCACCGCCTCGCACGAGGGGTAGCAGCCCCTCCTGCTGCAGGACCTAGAGGGTGCACATGCTTGGGGGTGTTGGGTGGGCTTGAGACTACCAAGCCTAGGGGGTGTATTAAATTATATAGGTTACATATAATTGTAGGCTTGGTAGGTCTTACTGGAACCTACTGTAGAGGGTACAACTCCCTCCTTGTATCCCTCTCTCTTCTAATCTAATTCTCTTTTCTCTCGATATTCTCCTTCCTAAACCTCTCGCCATTCTATGGCGTCTCTTCCTACCTAGCTAGCTCCTTGAGCAGTTTCTAATTTAATGAAGTCTTGGGAAACAGATTGGTAGCGATCCGATTCATCACACTATCGATCAGCGGTCTGGATTTTGTCTCCAGATTCAACGTTGTGTAGAAACAGTTGACTTCGTCTCGATTAGACAGAAATTTGCCACTTGGCGAATTTCCACCCCACCCCACGCTTCTGGGAGCGTTCAAGCCCTCGCTCCTCACCTTTCAGAATGCTTTCTGGTTCCCCTTTCGCGCTACTGTTTCCTCGCAGCCCCCTTTCTATTTCCTTCTTGCTCGCTTCCCGCCGTACTTAGCATTTGCTGCGAAAATCACGGGGAAAATAGTACGAAGAGGGTCTTAACCCGGCTACACTGAAAAGGGGAGGGTGTTGTTGGTCGATTACCATAATAAAGGACCTACCCACCAAAAACACCCTATGGGTCCTCAATAAAATCTATCTTGACTCGCAACTCTGCCACAAAATTCAAATCGCGGTCCCAAATGTGGTCTCATGACGAGCCGCATGCATTATTGCCCGTCTTTGCTGTTGCATGCCTAGATATGGGCACTTCGTGCTGATTACGAACCACACGTCACAGCTCTGCCGAGCCACGACCGTGTGCTCCTAGGCTAGCTATATCCATGCTCCCTGCTGTTTTGATGTTGCCTCTGTTGTATTGTTTCCTCGTTAATCAATCCTTCGACACACGCTCTTTACGGTTCATTACACCCGGCCATCAGAGCCAACGATCCTTAGCCTTGCGCTTTAGTTCGGCTGCAATACCGACACTTCGGGAGGCTGATGCCATGTGCCTACTATAGAACCGTTGCCCTGGTAATATTCATAGATAATTACCTACAGCCACGAATGTGTTCGCAGTGCCAGCATGCCGAAAGCCGCCAAAACTTTCCGCGAAATGGTGGATCCGTCGGCGTCTACCATCATGACTCCTGAAGAAAGGGCGGTAATACTTGAAGAAGTCGGTCTTATTCACGAGTTGTACCAACAGGAGTTGGCGCGTCTGCGAGCTGAAACGGCCCAAGCCGAATCTAAGATACTTGCACTTCGGAGCCGACTACCGCAGACACAACACGATACGATCGCAACAACGACAAATCAAGGACAACAGAAGCAAGTAACCCAACAGCATTCCAAAATACATCGTGACAATCAGCGACCACATGCGGCTTCGCCCGAGGGTTCGACGAGCAACCCACCACCGGCTATAGGACGAGCGGAAATTGGCGAAAGAACGAAAGTGAATTTGCCGCCCTCAATTACCTCTCCAATCGGCCTGCAAACTGCCAACATGACGCAGAGGCCACCCACGTTCGACCCGAGCTAGCGCAGTAGTTTGTCCGTCAGCGGGTGGATTTTTCACCTTAATGTCTTTTACGATTGCAGCCTCGTTAGCGACGACATGTAGAAAATCTGATACGCTGTGCCGCTCCTACGTGGACCGGCTATGGATTGGTGGCAGCAGATAATTCAGTCGTAGGAGCCGGATACGACGCCCCGCGTGATCGGGCGTTTCCGCACGACCAATCATTGGGCATGAAGTTATTGCGAGTTGGACGAGTACAGCACGTGGCAATCGTGTTGCGCGGGAATTCGTCGCCGCTTCGAACACGTCAACGCAAGCAGTCAAGTGCCCGACCGCCTTCGCACATGGCGCCAACTCGGATCGGTCCAGGACTACACCGGCAGCTTCAAGAATTTATGCGACTATGTCGACTACATTCACCCTGACAATAAAAATCGACAGATACATCCGGGGACTTCGACCGGATCTGTGCAACGAAATACAGATAAGGGAAATTACGGATGTGATAGAGGCGCAGAGGGTTGCGGAGCGGTTGGATTCGTTCTTTAAGCCAAGGGCGGGTCCCTATGATGGAAGTCACACTCACGGGCCAATCGAGTGTGCAGCTGTACACGCTGTTACAACATCAAACTCAACACTTACAGCTTTTGAGGGTCGTTTTTTCGGGTGTAACAGGCCGGGACACTGCAAGTCAGAATGCCCAGAGGAGCGGAAGAAGCGGAATCAGGGGCAGGGGAGTTCCAGCAACCAGGAAAACGCTTAGTATCAGTAATTAACGGGCCTACTACTGATGGAACATGCTCGCCCGTGACCAATGACCCTCATCAAGTACTGGTACGAATCCACACAATCGACAAAACTCGGTTGAATAAGGAGGGTGCAGTGACGGATTACCCCATTTATTTAGAGGGTAGGGTTCAAGGGGAATTTTTTAAAATCTTCGTGGACGAGGGAGTCAGCCACAGTCTGATCAACCTCACCACGACAAAAAATTTGAAGTTACCCTTAGAGAGGTATCTACCGAAGACCGACGCCCAACTTGTCGATGGGAACCCACTAGCAATAAAGGACAAGGCAGACAGGATTAGGTTACGCTGTGGAGCTGACTTCAAAATTTCAATGGGAATGCTGGCAACTACACTCGACGGCTTCGACATGTTGCTGGGACGGGATTGGCTGCGACGGTTCAATCCAAAAATTGACTGGACGACCGGCAACTGTTCTGTCAGAATTAACGGTCGCAATGTGACGTTACCAGCATGGACGAAGGGGATCACAGGCGGACTGACGCAGGTGAACTCTGTAGTGAACCAACGAGCGGTCGCATGGGGAGCGGAAGTCTTCGCCGTAGTCCTTCGTGCCCGTTGACATAGCATCGCAGCCGTCCGATTTAGAGAAGCTGACAGCAGCAGTGCCGGCCGATTTAGCGCAGCTGATTTGTAGATTCCTGCATATATTTCCAGACAACCTGCTCGAGGGATTACCACCGAAATGACCCTTCGACCTGGGGCAACAGTGCAGTGACAATTTTGATTATTACAGCGGAGTTGGAGGAAGTACAGAAGCAGTTAGATTACTGACAGGAGAAAAAAATCATCCGCTCGAGCTCCTTGCCATTTGCGACCCCAATAATTTTCAACCTGAAGAAAGACGGCGGGTACCGAATGTGCACTGACTAAAGAGCATTGAACCGGGTGATTATCAAGTCGTGTTACCCTATCCCGCGCGCCGACGAAGTGATCGACCAACTTCGCAAAGCTCGCCTTTTCTCTAAAACATATTTTCGAGGGGTTACCATCAGATTCGTGTACTCGCAGCTGGCTATCACAAGACTGCGTTTCGTACTAGGTATGGGAGCTTCGAGTGTGTAGTTATGCCCTTCGGACTGACGAACGCACTGTCCACTTTTCGGGCGATCATGAACCAGATCTTCAGTTCGCTCGTAGATAAGTATGTTATAGTCTACCTAGACGATATACTTAAAGGACCTCGAAGTAGTTTTCACGCTACTACAGCAGCATCGGCTGCTCACGAAGGGGTCTAAGTACGAGTTTTTAAAAGATCGCTTAGAATTTATGGGACACGTTGGAGATTTATCCCGAATATGGCGGGGGTAACTGCACGTGCTGTGGAAAGGGACTGAGTATAGGTGGTGGGAGAATGAGCAAGCTGCCTTCTCTGCGTTTTTTTTTTTTTTTTTTTTTTTTTTTTTTTTTTTTTGCTCAGCCCCTTTCCTTCGCATCGCCGATCCTTACCGTCCATTCGATGCAATCACAGACGCAAACAACATCATAATCAGAGCAATACAGTTACAGCCAATGGAGCAACTGATTCGCGCCACCTGTGATGACGTGGCCGACTGGGAGCCGCAATTGTCACTGATTGAGTGCGCGTATAATAACGCCCCGTCAGCTACTATTCGGCAGTCATCATTTTACCTGAATTACGGGCAAAACCCTATAGTACCGATCACGCCCAACATCGAAAATCCAGTACCTCGAGCCCAACACTTCACCGAAATATTACAAAATGTCTAGGAACATGTAGCCGAAGCCATAAAGAGTGCTAATCTTATTGCAAAGCACAGCATCGATCTACACCGACGAGAAGTAACTTACTAGGCTGGAGACTTAGTACTGCTCGACACCCAGAACCTTTGACTGCCCATCGTCCCAAAACTCCGCCCTCGCTACTGTGGACCATTTATCATCATCCACATGATATCTTCCGTTACAGCCCATCTACTGTTACCGGCCACCTGGAACGTCAGCCCATCGTTCCATGTGTGATTGCTTCGACCATATATCGCCAGCACCAGTAAAATACCACGCCACTGAGCGAATCTAAACATCCGACAGCTCGTCGAGCCTACTGTCGAACTTGCGATGTTTCTCTACCATCAGATCAAGGACCCTCGAGGGGCTCGCCTGATCGAGTTTCTAGTATCTTGGAAGGACCGGACGGCCCTGGAAAACAGTTGGGTGCCCCTGGCACAGATCGAGAATTACCCAGTGTTATGAGTCTACCTCCAGTCACGCAATGTGCACGATGTTGGCGGTCTTAACCAAGACCATACCTTGGAGGGGGGAGGTTGTAAGGAAATGGTATTTCCTTATCACGAGTTTTAGTCAGTAAGGCGTACACTGCTATAACGGGGTTGTCACTCAGCTCTGTCACGAAAGGGAGATTTTTGAAAGTGTAACACTTTCTAAATTTGTGCATTGTGAAAGCGAAGCAGCTTGTAGAGCACATCAAACACAAGGTTTGGATCGACGACGTCGACGGCACACTCGAGACCATCGCCGACGCGAACCTCCTCATCAAGAATCGGTTCGACGTGCTCGTGGTTGCGGAGTACGCCGGCTTCCGCGCGGCCAACCTCTACAAGATGTACCGGACCAAGGTGGTCCTCACCTCGCATCACGACAAGCTGGCGGTAGCCGATGCGGCTGCCCTCGAGCGCGCGCGCACGCCCTGCATGCCTCGCGGCAACTGGCGCGACACCGCGACATTCGGCCCAAAGGCACACATCCCCCCGTTCCAGAAAAATACCTTCCAAGGCAACTGCTTCAATGGTGGGTAGCAGGGCCATGTGGCCACCGCCCGCCCTGCCGTGGGAAGTGGCGGCCACGGGCCCACACTGGTTGTGTGAGGCGTTAGTTGGTTGGGCAGCATCCCATTAGCATGCTTGGTATGCACGGTGGTTGCACCATGTGGTGCTTGGCGCGATGCCCACCCCTAGGATGGGGCAGACCCGAGGGGTCTTGTTTAACTAGAGATGCTAGCGATTCACTAGTGGATGCTTGGCATGGGACTAGCTGGCATTCTGTACGGGACTAGTTGGCCCTTCAAATGGGACTAGTTGGCCCCTAGGAGGGAACTTATTGACCCTTGGTATGGGAATCGTCATGCATTCGTATGGGACCCGTTGGCCCCTGGACGGAACTATTTGGCACTTTGCTGGCATTAACTACAAATGATGGATCCCAAAAGCATGGCCCGTGCTGCCCACGAGCCCAAAAAAAGAAAGAAAAAGGGTAGCATAAGAACATGAAAAAAAAATCATGAGGAGCAGCAAGAGAGAGGAGAGAGAGAGAGAGAGAGAGAGAGAGAGAGAGAGAGAGAGAGAGAGAGAGAGAGAGAGAGAGAGAGAGAGAGAGAGAGAGAGAGAGAGAGGGAGAGAGAAAGAGAAAGAGAGAGAGAGGAGGAAGAGAAGGATAGAGAGAGAGAGAGAGAGAGAGAGAGAGAGAGAGAGAGAGAGTGAGAGAGAGAGAGAGAGAGAGAGAGAGAGAGAGAGAGAGAGAGAGAGAGAGAGAGAGAGAGAGAGAGAGAGAGAGATCAAGAGCTATAAAGTCCCTCCCCTCCCTGCTCATTCTTCATTATTCTTTTAGACTTTGACAAGTCTCTGATTTTGGCGGCCGGCTCGTGCGAGCAAGAGCGAGATAGAGAGAGAGAGAGAGAGAGAGAGAGAGAGAGAGAGAGAGAGAGAGAGAGAGAGAGAGAGAGAGAGAGAGAGAGAGAGAGAGAGAGAGAAAGAGAGAGATAGAGAGAGAGAGAGAGAGAGAGAGAGAGAGTGAGAGAGAGAGAGAGAGAGAGAGAGAGAGAGAGAGAGAGAGAGAGAGAGAGAGATCAAGAGCTATAAAGTCCCTCCCCTCCCTGCTCATTCTTCATCATTCTTTTAGACTTTGACAAGTCCCTGATTTTGGCGGCCGGCTCGCGCCGGCGGAGGGAGAGAGAGAGAGAGAGAGAGAGAGAGAGAGAGAGAGAGAGAGAGAGAGAGAGAGAGAGAGAGAGAGAGAGAGAGAGAGAGAGAGAGAGAGAGAGAGAGAAGAGAGAGAGAGAGAGAGAGAGAGAGAGAGAGAGAGAGAGAGAGAGAGGAGAGAGAGAGAGAGAGAGAGAGAGAGAGAGAGAGAGAGAGAGAAGAAGAAGAAGAAGAAGAAGAAGAAGAAGAAGAAGAAGAAGAAGAAGAAGAAGAAGAAGAAGAAGAAGAAGAAGAAGAAGAAGAAGAAGAAGAAGAAGAAGAAGAAGAAGAAGAAGAAGAAGAAGAAGAAAAAGAAGAAGAATAAGGAGAAGAAGAAGAAGAAGAAGGAGAAGAATAAGAAGAAGAAGAAGAAGAAGAAGAAGAAGAAGAAGAAGAAGAAGAAGAAGAAGAAGAAGAAGAAGAAGAAGAAGAAGAAGAAGAAGAAGAAGAAGAAGAAGAAGAAGAGGAAGAAGAAGAAGAAGAAGAAGAAGAAGAAGAAGAAGAAGAAGAAGAAGAAGAAGAAGAAGAAGAAGAAGAAGAAGAAGAAGAAGAAGAAGAAGAAGAAGAAGAAGAAGAAGAAGAAGAAGAAGAAGAAGAAGAAGAAGAAGAAGAAGAAGAAGACGAAGAAGAAGAAATGTTGCGGGGCAGCAAAAGCCAATCGGCCACGAGTTTCGAACTACCCCCACGATTGCGCTCTTGGCCTAACAAGTGGTCGTGCTCTTTGCCCACCATGGATCCCCAAATGCCCTCGCATCTCTCTCTAGCTCGATGCATCCCTCAGAGCTGCTCGCACCTTTTGTTTTGTATAGTGTACGGATATCACACGAATTATGTACAGTGGTATAACCTCTGTCCTCATGCCGTATGCAGGCCTCGACTTGGAATGGCTGACAGAACGGACGGACCCATGCAAGTTTGCCGTGTCTGAGAAATCAGTCACAATGATGAACGGCCGCCTAAGTCAAGCATTCGCGTGGTGGGCCTCGTGGTGAGAGTAGCCTCATCCTCTCCATCATCTCGAGGGGCTATTGGATGCCATGGAAATCGAACGTCCCACCTCAATCTCACGCCCCGAACCATGCTGGTGCAAATCACCACGCGACATTCCCTCGCGAGGCAATCCCGGAGCTGCTCGTCTTTGGTGCGGTGATGACAGCAGCCTCATCGGACGCCCTCATTTATGTCAGCCCCCTGAACGTTGTCGTGCAACACGAGAAGTGTCGTCTTATCCTCGACCTCCGATATGTCAACAACCACCTTACCAACCCCAAGTTCAAGTATGAGGGTCTGCCTCGTGTCGCCGAGCTGGCCTGACCCGGGGATTGGATGTTCTCGGTGGGCCTACAATCAAATCCGGGTACCACCACGTGGATATCCACCCATCTTTTTGGAAGTTCCTCGGCTTCCAATTTGACGGCCAGTATTACTTCTTTCGTTCACTACCATTCGGACTAGCAACCACACCTTTCGTATTCACGCAACTCATTAAACAGCTTGCGAAGTGTTGGTGCGCTCAAGGCCTTCGGGTTATCCCTTACCTGGACGATATTCTCTTCCTCTCCCCTACCGAAGCGGTCGCCCGTACCACATGTGCCAGCGTAGTGGACGACCTGCTCAACGCTGGCCTCATCATCAGCACGAAAAAATCACAATTGCACCCGACCCAACGCTTGCGCTTCCTAGGTCTCAAGCTCGACACGGCACACGGCAGATTCCATGTCAGAGAAGAGCATCACACCCAGCTCCTAAGAACCGTCACCGACCTGCTCACAGTCGGCCGACACGGTCCACGCCTTCCTGTAAAACAAGTGGCTCATATCACCGGAATGCTCGCATCCATGAACCTTGCCTTGGGTACAGTTACCCGCGCATTCAGCCATTAGCTCCTTCAGACCGTTCACACAGCGATGTCTTGAAAATCCAAGGTGATCCTATCAGTCAAAGCTCTTACAGAGCTCGAGTTTTGGCTCCAACAATTCGACAAATTTAATGGTTCTCCCTTCCACATTCGCCACAGCTACGATGCTGTGATCCATGTCAACGCAAGTGCTCACAGCTGGGGCGCAACTCTCACTACCTTCCCAGGCGACCTGGTCGAAGCAAGCGCCCCGATGCCTGCGGCCCTACTCCCAACGTCTAGCACTAAAAGGGAAATCGAGGGCGTCTTGTGGGTGCTCGAGACTATGAGAGTACGACCCCGTTACACCCCTTGTCCCTTTCCTTCTTTCCTTTCTATTTCATTTCTCTTTTTATCCCATCTCATTTGATTTCCCATTCTCCATTTTCCATTATCCTTTGGTTTATCCTGCTATTATAATTATATCACCGACCAAGCTTGGGATGTACTAGGCGCGCTATATCTAGCGTAATCCTACCGTAATCCCATAAAGCCAATAGCCTCGCGTGGCTATACGCAGGGTGATTCTATATTCTAGAAGGGTCTATTCCCTTTGGATAGGATAAACCTGGTTACCTGATGTACTTTGGAAGTATAAGGCACCTTGTATCAATCGATAGTGCAAGCTTTCCTCGACACATTCGATCCTGTGACACTTGGTAATCAGAGCTTTTCTCACTCGGCCGCGCTCAGCTAAGCAGCAGCAGCGGGGGATCCTGCCTCGAAAAACCGCCGGGGGCAACCAATTCGACGTCGATTCTGGTAAGCACCAGCTCCGTGTTTTTTTTTAATTACCCCCTCCGCGCGTGTTTTGAACAGGATGGCGAACTTCGACAACGCCGAAGTTACCCAGCAGCTCTTCGCACGCATCGCCGCCCTACAGGAGGAGATGCGAGCCGACCGCGAAGCTTGGCGAAATGAGTTCGAGCGAGTAACTCGACTCGCCGGCGCACAACACAAAACGACAACGGCGATGACGCAACAGTCGCAACAGTTTCTCGAGGCTCCAAAACCGCGCCCACCTGAGCCGTTCGATCCGAGCGATCGAAACTCCGACGCCTGCAGATGGATGGCCGGGATGGAGATCTACTTCGCAGCCGTCGGATGGAGCTCACCAGTCTGGGACGGTCAACGCGTACGACTCGCGGTGACACTGATGCGAGGACCGGCACTTGAGTGGATTGGCAGCAACAACACTTTTATCCACGGCGAAGCCACGTGGCAGCAGTTCCGCGCCGACCTGCTGAAACGCTTCGAGCCAATCAATTCCGGTTTCCTTGCCCGTGAAAAAAATCATCGCCATCGATAGTTCGGGAGTGTAGCGCAGTACACGCAGCAGATGGAGGAATTTTATAACCGAATTCCCGATCTGACCGAAGGGGAAAAAGTACAATCGTACCTCGCCGGGCTGAAGACCGAAGTCAAATGCCAGGTAGCAGTGTCAAACTACGCGAGCTACAGTGACGTCGTTTCGGCAGCGGAGCGCTTCGACATGGTCAACGCCGGGACACGACGGACGCACGTCGGCAGTACGCGATAGGGCGACCGCTTGGCTCACCCCACGTTCGCCGACCTGATGGAAGTTGACAGGTTCGAAGGGCGGCCACGTCTGAAAAACACCAACTACACGTGTGATTTCTGCGGGGTGCCGGGTCATCAAATCTTTGACTGCAACAAAATGAAAGCCGCACGCGCTAAGTATCGGGCACGCAACAGTGGCGGAAATCCTTCGGCCAATCAGAAGCCAAAAAACGGGACTCGCCAGTGATTGCGGATCGAGCTGGCGAAAAAGAAAAGATCCGGAAGCGGCCGTGGGATTCCGGAAAAATCAACTTCGACGCAGCTGATTCGACGCAAACAGGAGGAAATGATGGGGGAAAATCTCCACCCCACGACTAGTCTTCGCCAGGGAAAATCGCCGAAAAAAAAAAAGGACTCCGCGAAAAAAAACTCTGCCGAGACGGGGAATCTCCTTGAAGACCCAAGAAATTATAAGGATTTGTTAAAGCTATCCTATAAAGATGCTTGAATGAAAACTTGTAAGTCTCGAGGGGCTAGAGCTTTGGAGAAATTTCGGGAAGGACTCCAGAAGAAGCAGAAAATTGTGGAGATCGTACCAATACCGGAAAACATGGGGACCACATTAAGGAGTGTGGAAAGAAGCCGACCTTTCCACGGAGTCAACGTCCTCTCCCGACACCAGCCCACAACGACTACCCGCTCCCCAGGGAAGACGTCGGTGGAGCTGAAGCAGCTCAAGAGGAAGCTGGGGGTCTATAAGAAGCTGCAAAAACCCCGAACTCCTTCTCCGGATGCATCCAACTCGGCAACTTCGTCAACGACACGAACTGTCGTCATGGAAACTTCGGGCCCAGGAGAAGAGCCCTTCTCCAAGCAGCCTCGGCCAGCTGCCAGCTCAGGAGTAGGAAACAACGAATATTGGGATGTACCCTATGACCCCATCAATGAAACTATTTTTGGGTACTCCGAGCAACGCCTGCCCCTGGTGCTCGAGGTCTTCTGCAAAGGACGACGCCTCCAAGCACTCGTGGACAGTGGAGCATCGCACACCGTATGCGACAAGGTAACCATCGATCGACTTCGAGAAGAGTACAAGCCATCAGCGTTTTCTGCAACAATGGTGGACGGCAGCAAGTTACGAGTGTACGGCGAAGCAGTGCTACACCTACAAATCGGTCCACTACGCTGGAAACCTGCTCTCCCCATCACCAACATAAAAGGGCTTGACCTGATCTTCGGGCGAGACTTCCTCAAGAAATTCAACCCCGAGATCAACTGGGTAAACCACACCGCAAGCATCTACAACAAAGGAAGGAGAGTCCAGCTATCCAACTGGGACGATACTGGAGATATTCCAGTGGAGACACTCGCCAGATTCGAGAAGGACGTGAAACGAACCAGCACCAGGTTCCTGGCGATAGCAATAAAGGTGGGGAATGATAGAGAGAAAGCCTCGAAACCTCCAGAAAAAAATCAAGGACTTACTGAAGGAGTTCCAAGACATTCTTCGCGACGACCTCCCGAACGAGCTACCGCCATACCGAACGCACCAACACGAGATCGTGGAGGAACCAGGTTCGAAACCGACCTTCCGAGCACCATATCGGCTAAGCCTCACAGAACTAGCTGACATGAAGAAGCAGATCGAGTATCTCCTCGCCAAAGGACTCATCCGACCATCCACTTCGCCATACGGTGCCCCAGTACTCTTCACACCGAAACCGGACGGAAGCCTGCGCATGTGCATCAACTACTGAGCCCTCAACATGCAGACCATCAAGAACAAGTACCTGATTCCACGAATCGATGACCTGCTTGACCAGCTTTGAGGAGCCACGGTATTCTCAAAACTAGATCTGCGGTCCGGATACTGGCAGATAAGAATGGCGGACGATTCCGTTCACAAAACTGCTTTCCGAAATTAATACGGATCGTACGAGTATCTGGTAATGCCGTTCGGACTCACCAACGCACCTGCAACATTCCAAGCAGAGATGAATCATATCCTATGCCCACTCTTGGACGAATGCGTGGTGGTGTACCTAGACGACATCCTCATCTACTCGCGCGACAGGCAACAACACCTCGAACACCTGCGACGCGTCTTCGAAATTCTTCGACGAGAACGCTTATACGTCAGACTATCCAAGAGCGACTTCGCCCTCGGGAAAGTCCATTTCCTCGGACATATCGTAAGCGCTCAAGGAGTTCACGTCGACCCCAAGAAAATCAAAGCCGTACGTATGTGGAAGACCCCCGAGAACGTGAAGGAGTTACAACAGTTCCTTGGCTTTGCTAACTACTACAACAGGTTCGTGCCGCAATACGCGAAGATCGCCACGCCACTCACTAATCTGCTTAAGAAGAACATGCCCTATAAATGGGAGCCACAACACCAGAAAGCCATGGAGCAGCTGAAACAAGCACTCACGTCCGCACCTGTACTCATCTTGCCAGACCCCGAACGCGACTACGTTATCGAAGCTGATGCCAGCGACCAGGCAGTGGGAGCAGTTTTGATGCAAGACCAGGGAAATGGACTGCAACCAATTGCCTACCTCAACAAAAAATTACATGGAGCAGAACTCAACTACCCGATACACGACAAAGAGGCCCTTGCTATCATCATCGCCTTCAAAACGTGGAGATGTTATCTCGAAGGACGCAAGACGACATTCTACACCGACCATAGCAGCCTAAAATATTTGAAGACGCAACCAAGCCTCTCCAGGCGGCAGGTCCGGTGGATTGACTTCCTCGAGACACACTTCCACTACGACATCGTGTACAAGCCCGGCCACAAAAACAAACAATGCGCTTAGTCGGCCTGCACACGTTGCCGCTATCCAAGTTGACGGAATGAATCCACTCCTCAAGGGACTCTTAACACACGGGTACACCATCGACCCCGAAATTCCCTTGGCAGAAAAGCAACATCTGCTACAGTGGGACAATGACATCGCGTACTGGAAAGGGTCAACGAAAATCTGGGTTCCAAACTACCCTCCTTTGCTCCAGTTACTACTCGAAGAATACCGCGACGTTCTCTACGCCGGACACTTCGGTAGTAACAAGACGCTTACCGGTATCGCAAAGCACTATTACTGGCCCCACATGGCAGAAGATGTTCAGAAATTCGTCACCTCGTGTGATACATGTCAGCGGATGAAGAGCAGCTAGCAGAAGAAGGCCGGACTGCTACAGCCTCTTCCTGTCTCAGAACAACCATGGCAAGTGGTTAGCCTACATTTCATCACCGAGTTACCGCCGACCACCAGCGGTCATGACGCAATCCTTGTCTCCAAAATGGGACACTTCATCCCGACACACATGACAGCACGCACCGAAGAAACAGCACAACTCTTCATTCGATACATCATCTCACAGCATGGCATTCCAACCACACTTATCTCCGACCAAGACCCCAAGTTCACCAGCAAGTTCTGGAAGGGACTTATGTCTCTACTCGGGACCAAACTCACCATGTCATCCGCTTACCATACGCAGGCAGACGGACAGACCGAGCGCCTCAACCAAATTGTTGAGCAACTCCTCCGAGCAGCCTGCAAGGACGAGATCTCCAAATGGGACTTGCACCTGCCCGTTTTAGAGTTTGCCTACAACAATGCTACACACGCCGCTACTGGACAGACGCCGTTCTTCCTCTGCTACGGACGCTACCCACTCACACCACAGAAACCGACAACATCAGCATTAGTCCAACCAGCACATGACTTCATCACAACCATGCATCAGCTTTGGGATCGGACCCACAAGCGCCTCCTTGACATTCAGCAGCAACAGAAGCGCCAGGCCGATCGCCATCGCAACGACCACACCATCACCGTGGGAGACTAGGTGCTTCTCGACACACGCAATCTTGACATCAGCCATCTCCCATCTAAACTTCGACCTCGCTTCTGCGGGCCTTTTCTCATTGAAGCACAGGTCACACCTGTTACCTTCCGCTTACACCTACCAGCTACCTGGAAGATTCACAATGCCTTCCATGTCCAACTTCTGAAGCTCTATCGGGATCCAAACACGCTCTTCGTCGAACGCCAACCGCCGCCGCCGCCGCCCGTCCTCGTCCAGAATGAACCCGAGTACGAGGTCGAGTCCGTGCTTGCACACCGCCATCGACGGAATGGTACCGTGGAGCTTCTTATTCGTTGGAAGGGTTATGATCCTTCTGAGGACAACTGGGTCCCTGAGACCGACATGGGTAACCCCCGTCGTCCTCTGTAACCTTGTCAAGCAGGGTGTTACTTCTACCACCCAGCTTTGAGGGGGGGGAGTGTGAGAGTACGACCCCGTTACACCACTTATCCCTTTCCTTCTTTCCTTTCTATTTCATTTCTCTTTTTATCCCATCTCATTTGATTTCCTATTCTCCATTTTCCATTATCCTTTGGTTTATCCTGTTATTATAATTATATCATCGACCAGGCTTGGGATGTACTAGGCGCGCTATATCTAGCGTAATCCTACCGTAACCCCTTAAAGCCAATAGCCTCGCGTGGCTATACGCAGGGTGATTCTATATTCTAGAAGGGTCTATTCTCTTTGGATAGGATAATCCTGGTTACCTGATGTACTTTGGAAGTATAAGGCACCTTGTATCAATTGATAGTGTAACCTTTCCTCGACACATTCGATCATGTGACAGTGACGTACAAGACACGACTCGTTGGCTGCCACGTCCTCTGTCAAGTAGACAACCAGGGCATCTTCTTCATCCTGCGCAAGGGTGGCTCACGCCAAATAGAGCTCACCAGTACCTGCCGCGCGATAATCGATTTATGTGTCAACCAGAATATCCACCTGGCACTGGATTGGATTCCACGCAACCTCAACGCCCACACAGACGCCCTCTCTAAAGTCCATGACATGATGATTACTCACTAAAACGACCCTGGTTCCGCCTAGTGGATCGACGTTGGGAACCACACACGCTTGATCTGTTCGCCAACTCGCAGAACGCGCAACTTCCTCGGTTCTGCTCCACAATTCCCTATCCCCACGTTACGGCCACCGACGCCTTCTCCATCAGCTGGCAAGCTGAGCTTGGCATCGCATTTCCTCCCCCACCCCTTATTCCTGCCACGCTTCACCACGTTAGGCGATGCAGGGTCAGGCTCACATTGATTATTCTAGAATGGCCAAGCACTAGCTGGTGGCCGCTCCTCCGCCCTGCCCCTCATGCCTGGGCCCCAGAGGTCACAGCTCACCTTCTCTTGGTCAGCGGCAGCCAATACCTGCACGCAGGCTCGCACACACACGCATTCTCTGGCTAAGGCCTTCCCAACAGCCCCATCCTCTCCCTTCGCATCACCTATGCCTGAATAGTGTGTATCCTTGCACCCTCGCAGAGCTGCTCCCTCGTCTGCAGAGGTAGCTCACGCTGATCGTCACGCAATCCCATGCAGCATCCACCATCAAGACTTACGACCCACACTGGACCAAGGTTCTCACATTCTGCCTATGGGCATGACCCTAGCCTTCTACCTCGTCCATGCTATCGGCCAGCATGCGACAGTGTCGGCCATCAAACTGACCTGCTCAGCGGACTGCTTTGCGCACAAGATGACAGGCTCATCTTGCCCCACCACTTGCCCCCTGACCCTGCAACTTAGCCAAACGGCATTGCCCACGCCCGAGCCGGACCAAGGAACCCGTGTCGCTCCATCAAGACCACAACATGGCGCGCGAGTTCTTGGGCTCGACCGACCCGGCCGAGTACCAGAAAGGCTTCATCCCTATTCTGATGTACGTCGCTTTTCTTTGCTACTCTGGCTTGATCTCCATTCAGTGGGAAGACATTCAGTTCGAGCAAGACGCCATGTGGCTGCTCATTCCGCAATCCAAGACAGATCAAGAAGGACGCGGGGCATGGGTGCCATTGATAGTTGCACCAGGCCCATTCTGCCCTATACGCTGCACGGCACACTTCCTCCGCCTTGCCGGATACGGACCACACAACAAAGGCCCACTCATTCGCGTATTCTCCTCCCGAACCCAGGCGCAGCCCGAAGACCGATCGCCCTCATACCCCACCATCCGAGCTTGGTGCCTCGAGGCATTCAAGAAAATAGGCTTCTCCGCCGAACAGCTTGGAACACACTCATTCCTCAAAGGTGCCGCTACAGTCGCTGCACACGCCGGGATCCTTGATTGCCTGTTTAAGCACTAGTGCAGCAACACCGCCAATGAAATGTACATCACCATCTCCCACGACCACCTCCTCTCCGCCTCCCAACTCCTCCACAACACCGAGCTCGCACCCTCGCCCACGCAACACGACCGCACCCTTACACGCAATCGGCGCACCGCTCGGCACATGTCTCAAGTGGCCCAGTTGAAGTGAGCACGATACTAGTACAAGCAAAGCTAGCAAGATTTCACAGTATGGAATTTTTTTCAAGTGTAACAATTTCTAAAATTGTGTATTGTAAAAGCGAATCGGCTCGTAGCGCAACAAAGGCACTCGGCGATGCGCTACTCGCCCTCTTCTGAGTACAAAACGTGGCTGGAGGCTCATTTCCCTTCACCCACGTTCTTATTTTCAACGTTCAAAACTGATTCCCATTCACCCCACCCTTGTTCCCTTGCCTTAGGCCCGATGTAGGCTTTTTTTTTTTCATGATTGGACCTGAATAATGTTGTACTTGAATAGTTGAAGTAGGCACGATGCCATTGCAGTTGAAGTGAGCATGATGCCATTGCAAGCAAAGCTAGCAAGCTTTCACAATATTCAAATCGCGGTCCCAAAAGTGGTCTCCTGAGGAGTCGTAGCAGTATTGCCCGCCTAGCTATTGCTTGCCTAAATCTAGGCTCTTCGTGCCAATTACAAACCACATGTCGCAGCTCTGCCGAGTCCCGACCGTGTGCTCCTAGGCTAGCTTTATCCATGCTCCCTGCTGTTTTGATGTTGCCTCAGTTGTATTGTTTCCTCGTTAATCAATCATTCGACACACACTCTTTGCGCTTCATTACACACTGACAGACTCCAGTATAGTAGCCGGTGCGCGAGGGGAGGAAGCTGCAGTAGAACAGTTCAGTTTGCTGCAGAATGTGTAGGTGCATTTGACTGCATTGTCCCTATTTTCTCAAAAATCAATTGTGTTGGGCATAGACACTGGTGTTTGTAAAATCCATCAACGCTGAGTGATTTATACGGGATTGAGAAAGTTAAACGCTCACAATCCGCGCCTTGTTCCCTTTCTGTATCAGCCAGCGCGGATTTGTTCGCTTCTTGTACCTGCCCACGAAAGGGCGTTCTTAGATAATATTGGAAAGTGTAAGGTATATACCTTAAATTTAAAGAGGATATGAAAATCATGGAAAGTTATGGGTGAGGGGTTTATTGTAAGAAATTACGATTCCTTACTGGGGCTCACCACAGCGAGTACCGCAAACAGTGCGGGTCCGCAGGCTCGGCCCTGGCTTATCGTGCCAAACCAGCCCTCGTCGACCTTTTCGGCCCCAACCTGACCTCGAGTCGCCCCGGACCCACTTTGACCCCGTCATCCTCGGAATATCGAGCCCTTGACTGGTCTAACCTGACATTTCAACATGGTCAACTCGCACTATATAAGCCCTTGGCCTCATTATTCTGGACACATTGGAATCACGTTCCCCTTTAGTATTCTACGCTATACTCTGAGTTATAATTCATAACAGCTGGTATCAAAGCTACGTTCGTGCCCATTAGGCTTCCGGTAGGGGAGCAGGCCCTATCGGGGAAGGGGGCGGAAGGATTCTGATGGCGAGCGGACGTCGCGGAAATTAATTGTGCGGGCGTTGCTGATGCTGTCAGATCCTGTCCGATGGACGGCTGGGGTTGGCCGGTCCTCCCCTTCCCTGTTTGTAGACGGAACTATTTCTCGTCGAAGAGTGGACGACGTTTTCGCCGTATTTTTTGGGTATGTTCGTTAGAGCTTTCGTAATTTTCGGGTGTTCATACGGAGTCTTCCGATTGGCTTCCGAAAAAGCAAAGGCTTCGTCATGAGGAGACAAGTGCACGGGAGTCCTCACGCGGCCGGGAGTTGGTCGTCAGGAGCACGCGGGGTGGCGAAAATGGCGGGATGTACGGCGATGCACGTCTAACATGCCATGCAGCGGCAGGGTGAACTGTAGCTGTATCTCGGATCCCGGCGTTTCCGGTAGGCTAGTTGCAGGCGATGGAAGGGGCTTTGACACTATTTCGGCAATGGACGGATCCGACAAATTCCGAACGACACGATCGTATGAAGTTGTGTGGGTGTGCAGTTGTGTGGGAGCAGTTGAGATTAACGACCTCGGCGCTATACACTACGACGGCCATCTGGAGGAGATGACGCTGTGCTAGAGTGGGTGTACTCAGCAAGGGCGAATTCCCGCGTGGGAATGCGTTTTTTTGTGGACCAACGATTCATACCCCCACGATAAAAGGAAACAAAGGCCACCACCCCTGGGTGTGTATTAAGTGTTTTCCAACGGTCGCCGAGTGCGTTAACTGTCAGGAGTTGAAGCAGTGGGAGAAGAACGACGGGAGTACTAGAGCAGATGGGTTAGCGGCGTACGGGCTGCTAATCGCTCAGCTACGTTGCCCTAAAATCAACATTCATATCATGTAGCCGTATCGACTTATACCTCGACGGCTCCTGGATGAATAAGGGGGGTGAACCCGCAAACTACACTGTGCTGAGGGAGTGTCCCCGAAAATTTAGGAGTTACTGTTGCAGTGGAGCTGAAGGAGTTTACCTGGTGCAGCAGAAGGAGGTTCCGACTTTTGCGGGTGTAGTTCGACGAGGAGGGAGTTGTCCAGCGGTTAGTAGGCGAGCTCGTTAAAGCTCCTCTAACTAGAAGCGTGCGCACTCCTATCTCTGCAGATTCTCCTAGTTTTGGGTAACCTGCAGCAGCCGCGAGATGGGTGAACGTCTGCACGGCCAGCTGGACAGGGGTACCCGAGTATTTTCAGAGTTGGGTAACAGCTGTGAGGAGACCGACGGCGTATGATGCGCATTGACCCTGATCAACGGCCAAAACATAATGCCGAGGCGGTGGACTCTGGTAAACCCTAAGATAAAGGGTTCAGTTCATGCGTATAGCTAGTGGAGAAATCGTGGGGGCGCTGCTAAAGGACGCCGTGACGACTGGGCATTTTTACGGTTAGTTGTAACGCGGAGTTACGGTATTTACTAAGTACCGCGTGGTTCCGACATTTTCGGTGAGTTTGTGGAGCAGTTCGAGAGGTTACAGCTGGAGTTGTGCCCGCTATCTTCAGGGGTACGAGCGCCATCGACCGATATTTGCGGAGTGTTTTAGTTTTGTGGAACAGAAAGGGGGCAGTAGCAGTTTCGGCTCTTCCCGAAATTTTCGGCGTGTACGGACAAAGAAGTTGATGCAGCTAGCGTCAATTGAAATCAGGTTCTGTTCGCGGCTATTCACGGGAGTGGTTTGGTACAGGTTACAGGTCATCGCCATCGTCGTCAGCCTCTCGCCACAACCCGCTACCACCTCCATGATCAATTCGCCAGCCAGTGTGAACACGACCCCGCCGCATCATCGCCACCCATCAGGAGCAGTGCCGGATTTGCAGCAGTACTATGGAGCTGTGTTGGGGCCAGCTCGCAGGCAGTGTTTTGACCTTTGAAGAAATTTTGGAGTTCGTGTACGAGTCTTCTGGAGCAGTAGTTGTGGAATTTCAAGACCATTGGAGCGGTTTCCTTGCGGAGACATTGCACGTTTGGAGCATTTTTGGGAACTATTGCGGTTGGAGTTTTGCAGCGGCATATTGGACGCTGAGTATCCGAAATTTCGGCAGCGCCTACTCTGACGCGGATTTTGAAGTCCTCCTGATTTGCATTTTTAGTGGCTGTGATATATTTTACCGGCATCTTGGAAGCTGAGTTCCGGGATTTTCAGTCGCAGTGTGGGCTTATTTCGATGGTCCTGGAGCATGGAATTTTCTGCATATCTACTGGGGAAATTGGGAGCTGTTATCTTTTGGAGGGGGGAGAAGGGCAGCTGTGCTGCAATTTTCCGACGACCTTTCCGGCGTGTTCCATTAACCATTTTCGACCGACATTCGTTATCGTTATGCTTCCGCGCCTGATTTCGTCACTTCGTTGATGGAGTTCGCTGACTTTCGTAGGACATGGACGCGTGCTCTCGCATGTGACTCGAACGACCTCGCATTTGACGAACGGGTCCTTCATTTTCATCGACCATCATGTTATTCGCCCATCATCATTTCAAGAAATTCAGCCGCCACGCGCCATCATTAATCGACCACTGGACGGTTTCATTGTTTATTGTCTTCCGCTGTAGTATTTACCCTTGCCCGTTTTGGTCGCTAGAAGAATTCGACCATCCTCGACGACCGATATTAAAAGCGATCGTTTCAACGCTTTCTAACCATCGATTTCAGTTCGACCTCAAGACCTCGTCAGGCCGGTGTAATCATTACGCTCGTCACAGGGCTGAAGACTCACAGTCAAATCGGTGATTACCTTAGATAAAGGGTTCGACCTCGATAAAGAGAGTGCCTTCCTTTTAGAAAGTGGGAGAGTGTAAGGAATTACGATTCCTTACTGGGGCTCGCCACAGCGAGTACCGCGAACAGTGCGGGTCCGCAGGCTCGGCCCTGGGTTATCGCGCCAAACCAGCCCCCGTCGACCTTTTCGGCCCCAACCTAACCCCGAGTCGCCCCGAACCCACTTTGACCCCATCACCCTCGGACTATCGAGCCCTTGACTGGTCCAACCCTCGACATTTCAACCTGGTCAACTCGCACTATATAAGCCCTAGGCCTCATTATTCTGGACACATTGGAATCACGTTCCCCTAATGGTATTCTGGGCTATACTCTGAGCTATAATTCATAACAGTTATGTAAATGAGCATTAATGCATTTGCATTGCGTGTATTTAATGTTTTCCCGATATGACCCATGCGGTATGACAGATTCCTAGCCACCGTAATTCCGGGATTTCTGGAAGTGAATTTCATGACTCTGGTTTGCGTCCTTCAACCAATGGAAACTGTCTGCGCTGTTGGACACAAGCGCCTCGCTCGGGGGAGGGAGGTTTGGTATGGTCACGCCCTACCGAGCCTTCCAAACAATCTCGACCGTCCAATGCTGACGGTGCTGCGCCCGAACGTTCTCCGAGTGAGTGGTGGTTATTGTTGGATTCACTTAGTTAAGTCTGGAAGAGTGAGTGGCCGATAGTGCTTCTCAGATAACAGTTTAAGCAAAAGCGAAAAGCCAGCAACCTGTGCCTCATTCGATAGTTTGATTGTTGATGTAGAACAGAATGCATTTCCCAGACCTGCTGCCCTTTTCACTTCCAAGATTCCCCTGCAAAGTTCTGGCATATCAATATTCATCCTAACGAGAGTTTGAGAGGTTTTGTGTGGGGGTTGGTTTCCTTCTCCCTCACCCTTATCAAATTAAATCAAACGTGCTTTCTTCCCAAGCAGAGAATTTCACTCGGGGTAGTATATTAATAATAAAATGTGCTACAACACACTCCCTTTCACCAGTTTCATTGAATCTGGCAACTCCCAGGGCTGCGCGCTTGGGACCGCTGGGCAGAGCAGCATTCGCTTCACCCACAAATTGATGCCAGCACAGCGCACCATTGATCAACCTTCGAGAACTGATCTAACGTGGGCACTGGGCAGTCCTTCCACCTCTGCTTGCACTCACCCTCCTGCCAAAAGCCATTTCGGCCAGACTTGTCTCTTCAGCCCAGGCGGATTTACCAGCAGAGGATTCTGTCTGTGTAGCTTTAGCAGCCAGAAGGTCCTCCCCCTCTTCCTCCACTTCCCCTCACCGCGGTTCTCTAACTCCTCTCCACATGGCGCTTGCCGGCCAACATGCGGGGTAGACCCCAGCTGCTCGGCTACAACATTTTTCCCCCTCTCGAAACGCGCTTTCCAGAGTCAGACTGGGCCGAGCTAGCAGCAATGGCGAGCTCCGAGGACCATCAAATCGGCATGGCGCACGCGCAGCAGCAGCACCCTCTTCTCTCGTCCTCCGACACAACGCACAAGAGCATGCCGACGTACCTGAGACGCAGCCTCGGCGCGCTTTTCTTCGGCGCTCGAACCAATGTTCTCCTGATCTTCGTCCCCTCGACTTTCCTCGCCATTCTCCACAACTTTCCCGATGGCTACGTTTTCGTTTTCAGCCTCCTCTCCTTGATCCCTCTCGCGGAGCGTCTGGGTTTCGTTACAGAGCAACTCGCTATGTGCACAAACCCTACCCTTGGCGGGCTACTCAACGCCACGTTTAGCAACGCTCCGGAGTTAATCATCGTTCTAGTGGCCCTCAGAAGTGGCCTCGTTCGCATTATTCAGCTCTCACTCCTCGGATCCATCCTGGGGAATCTGCTGCTATGTCTGGGAAGTGCGTTCCTCGTGGGAGGGATCTACCACAAGAATCTGGAGTTTAACCGGCCCGCCGCGCAGATGAACAGTGGTACGTTTCAAACAGGGGTACGCGCGAAATTACCTATTTATTGATCATTCTATTCGGTTCAATCCCGTTTGGATAGAGGTCCCGGGATCACGCGGATCCGTCAGTGGTGCAGGCAGTGTTCGCCAGGGGTTTTGGCATTCTGTTCGGATGTGCTGAGATTTGCGGTCGCACTTAAATCTATCTATTCAATCAACGAACCAGCCTCCAAAACCAGAATCCGATTCGCACGCCCCACCCCCTCCTTCTCCCCCCTCCCTGTACTATCGATTCCGCCCCTTCCTCCCCTCCCTCTCCTTTCCCCTCCCCCAGTCATCGTCGTCTTCCTCCCGACGCTTCACCCTTTCAACGCCCCTTTGCGCCCTCTTCTCCCCTCGTCCCTCCTCTGCTTCCCCTCCCGCGCCGTTTCCCATCCCTTACGCAACCCATTCCCCTCCGCTCCTCCAGGCGCGCCGATGCTAGCCATGTGCGGGCTGCTCTTCCCCAACCGCCCCACATCGCGGGCACCGAGCTCCACGGATCAACCTGCTCATATCTCCACTCCCATCTCCCCCTCCTCCTCCCCCCACCCCCCACCCCACCCCCCCTGCCCCCTTGCCCGTCCTCCCCCGTCCCCCCACTTTTCTCTCCCCCGCCAGGCGCGCTGATGCTGGCGATGAGCAGGCTGCTCTTCCCCAACCTGCTGCACGCGACGGGCACGGGACTCCACGAGAACAACTCATCCTGCTCCTACTGCCCTCCCTTCCCTTTGCGCCCCCCCCCTCCCCCCTCCCCTTGTCCCCTATGTTCCGCAGGCGCGCTGATGCTAGCGATGAGCGGACTGCTCTTCCCCAACCTTCTGCACGCGACGGGCACGGAGCTCCACGAGAACGTGTCGCAGCTGGGGCTGTCGCGCTTCGCCGCCGTGCTGATGCTGCTCGCGTACTTCGCGTACATCTACTTCCAGCTCGTCACGCACCGCGAGTTCTTCGAGGAGGGCGAGAGCGGGGAAGACGGCGCGGAAGACGGCGGAGGGGGCGCGGGAGAGCAGTCGGAGCTGGGCGCGTGGGGCGGCATATTTTGGCTGTTTGTGGTGACGACGCTGATCTCGGTGCTGTCAGATGCGCTGGTGAACTCCGTGGAGGGGACTGCTCTGGAGTGGAATGTGCCGTTCTCAGGGATCTGCGTCGTCGTGCTGCCGCTCGTCAACAACGTCACTGGTAACTCACCGCTGCTTCTCCCTTGGAATCCCCTCCCCGTTTGACTCGCCTCCTCCGTCTTCTCTCTTCCTCAGTGCCTTGCTTGCAACCAAACCTGCATGCGAGCGCTATCTCCTCCGTCGCCCCGTTCTCTTTTCTCTCCCCCTCCCCCCCACTTCGCCCCCTTCCCCCTCCCCCCAACCCCGACTGCAATGCCTTGGCCTCAACCTACCCCTGTGTATTTTCCCTGCTGAACCACAATTCTCTCTTTCCTCCCTCCCCATCCCTCTCCTGTTGTAACAACTCTTTGCTCTCCCTGTTTCTTGCCTCTCCCCCTCCCCTTCTCCAAGGACTGTACTCCCAAAACCCTAGTTCCTCCAATAAACCCGACATTTCCAATACCCCCTAACACCCTCCCAAACCCCTCCTCCGTTCCTAAAACCCTTCTCGGCTCCCAGAGCACACGTCCGCTATCCTCTTTGGGATGCGCGACAAGCTCGACGTGTCGCTGTCCATCGCAGTGGGCTCCTCCATCCAGCTCGCCATATTCCCCATCCCTTCTATGCTCCCTTCTCAACCCATCTCACCCCTTCTCCCCCTAACCCTCCATCTGCTCCCTCGAACCTCCTCCCCCCCTGCGTCCCTTTCCCCCCCTCTGCTCCCCCTCCCCCTCTCCCTCCCCCCCACCTCTCCCCCTTCCGCCCCTCCTCCCCCATACCAGAGCACACGTCCGCGATTCTCTTCGGCATGCGCGACAAGCTCGACGTGTCGCTGTCCATCGCGGTGGGCTCGTCCATCCAGCTCGCCATGTTCCTCATCCCTCTCGCCGTGATCGGCGGGTGGATCATCGGTGTGCCCATGGATCTCAACTTCCACCGCTTCGAGACGCTCTCGCTCTTCATCACCGTGCTGGTCACCGTGCTCATGCTGCACGAGGCCAACGCCAACTGGCTCAAGGGGCTCATGCTCGTGCTCATGTACCTCATTCTCGCCGCCACGTTCTTCAACCACAAGGAGACGTTTCTTGGGCCGGAGCCGGGGAAGGCGGGGGGGGTGGGGGGCTGGGTGTGCCGCCTGTGATTCAGGTGCTGCACCATGACTTGTGATGGGGTGGCGTGTGATGTGATGGGGTGGTGTGCGACGGGGTGGCGTGTGATGGGGTGGCGTGTGATGGGGTGGTGTGTGATGGGGTGGTGTGTGCTGGGGTGGTGTGTGTAGACGTATGGGGGCGCATGGTGTTATGTGATGGGGTGGCATGGTGGCATGGTGGCATGGGGTTGCATGATGTCATGGGGTGGCATGATGTCATGGGGTGGCATGATGTCATGGGGTGGCATGATGTCGTGGGGTGGCATGATGTCATGGGGTGGCATGATGACATGGGGTGGCATGCGATGACATGTGATGGCATGTGTGTGCAGGGAATGAAGGGGAGGTCGTATTTGACATTTCACTATTGGCATTAGTTGAAGGGGGAAAGTACCGGTACCAGTAGAACCCATCTGACACAGTTGGCCTCAATTCCTGTTTGGATGGATGGTATGTTGGCAAGTCGGGATGACCTTGCTGCTGAGCGGGGTGTTGACTGCTGGATGTGTGATACATCTGCACCATCCATGTGCCTGGGCTTGAGAAAATGGTGTGCTTGCTCGAGGCAACGCCTCGAGATGGCAAATCGGTAACAATACTAAGTAATGTATGCATGTCGACCGTATTTATACCCTTAGCCTGCTTGTGCTCTCGAAGTGTTAAGGTTGTAGCAGTATCAAACAATCATGCTTATACCATAGTATGTCAGGTGCAGTCAGGGGGGTATATAAATATTTCTAGGCAAAAACAGGGTACTCATCAAATCCAGTTATATTGAACCCGCATACCCAGATACAGTGTCAAACATATATTTGTATGTTATTAAAGGCTACATAGGTGAGTACTCATAAAAAAGTACAACACAGCAGAACAAAACCACAATGTACCCTTCTATTCTAACAACGTTTGTTACCGTGAGATGGTATCTCGCTTGGCTCAATTCTCCTCGCTCCCTCGCGCTTCCGCCTTAGCACTAGGACAAGCCTTAGACTTGGGACCCGTTGTAGCTCGAGCCTGAAGGCCCCGCTCGTCGCCCGGAGCTCGTAGGCCCCGCTAGTCGCCCGGCTAGTCGCCCCGCTAGTCGCCCCGCTAGTCGCCCCGCGCTCGCTGGCCCGCGCTAGTCGCCCCATGTACTCATAAAAGGTACATAGGTGCGTTCTCATAAAAAGTATGCTGGGCTGAGGGTATTTCCAACAAAGTACAACACAGTAGCACAAAACCACAATGTACCCTTCCATTCTAACAACTATTGTTACCGTGAAATGGTATCTCGTTAGGCTCGATTCTCCTCGCTCCCTTGCGCGTCCGCCTTAGCACTAGGACTAGCCTTAGACTTAGGAGCCGTCCTATCTCGAGCCTGAAGGCCCCGCTCGTCGCCTGGAGCTCGTAGGCCCCGCTAGTCGCCCCGCGCTCGCTGGCCCGCGCTAGTGGCCGCGCTAGTCGCCCCGCGCTCGCTGGCCCGCGCTAGTCGCCCCGCGCTTGCTAGCCCGCGCTAGTCGCCCCGAGCTCGTTGGCTCGCATTTGTCGCCCCGCACTCCTCGGCCCGCGCTCGTCGCCCTGCGCTTGTAGGCCCAGCTCGTCGCCCCGCGCTCGCTGGCCCGCCCTCGTCGCCTCGCTCTCGCTGGCCCGCGCTCGTCGCCCCGCCCTTGTCGGCCCGCGCTTGTCTCCCCACACCCGCTGGCCCACGCTCGCTGGCCCCGCGATTGCTGGCCCAAGCCCGCTAACCCCGCGCCCGCCGCCCTGCGCTCGTCGGCCCTCGCTCGCCGGCTCCTATCTCGCTGCCCCCTTGTTAGTTGGCCTCGTGCTCGCCAACCCCTCGCTCGCCGGCTCCTAGCTAACCGGCCTCAGCTCGCCTGCCCCGTTTCGTGCCGGACCCCCCACTCGCCGGCCACTCGCCTGTCGACCCCGCACTCGCCGGCACCAGTTCGCGCCTACCCCGGTCCCGCCGTGCGGTCCTGCCGTGCCCCCATGTCGTGCCACCGTGTCATGTTGTGCCGTGCCGTGCCGCAGTGCCGCCGCGTGGTGCTGTGTCGCCGTACCACGCCGGCGTGCCGCAGTGCCGCCAAGCTGCAGTGCTGCTGTGTCCCGCCATGCCGTGCCGCAGTGCCGTCGTGCCGCAGTGCTGCTGTGGCACCGTGCTGCCGTGGAGCCGTGCCGCTGCCTCGCCGTGCCGCCATTTCGCCGTGCCGCCGTGTCGCCGTGTTGCCGTGCCGCCGTGTCACTGGCAAGAGCAGAGGACGTGGGATGGCGTACGCTGTGCTCCACCTGGACGCGGAGGGCCGGGCGATCGACTTTGAGGCGAGGCTCGTCGACCTTCGCCGACACCTGATACGTCAGCGCCAGGACGGTTACTTCCTGGTTGTTCATGTCGATGGTACGCTCCTCCGCCCCCCCCCCCTCCCGCGCCCGCTGCTCTCCCTGACGCCCCCACCATTGCTGAGCGTGAGGCCCTTTCTGCCGCTGCGCTTGCTCGCGCTGTCTGGAGTCGCGCGACGCCGTCGCGCAGCTTGCTATTAGTCACGCCCTCCCCCTGTCTTAGCGTCCCCGCTTTACCACTGCAGCAAACGCCAAGGAATTCCTAGTTGCAGTCGTTGAGCGCTATTCCACACCCTCCTCAGCATCTGCTGGCTGCTCGATCAACCCCATGCTGTTCTCTAATATTGCGTCCTTCCCCACTGTCGCTGACCTTGCCACACACCTCCGCCCTCTGGCGGCTAGCTACCGCACCGTTAGCACTGAGGCACAGCTCACTGCCTTCCCGCCGCCGCTCTGCGCTACCCTTTACCTCATTGCCACGTGCCTGCCTGACCGCCTAGTCGCTGCCAGCGACCACTTCCTTAGTCAGCACCTAGGTGACCTCACCCTTCCCGCCTTGATCACAGCCCTGTCCGAGATAGAGACCTGCCAGCGCACTATCGCTTAGTCTCATGGTACTGCGTCGGTCCTTATCTTCCAATGTCGTGCTCCCTCCCAGTGCACTTACTCTGACGTCTCTACCGCTATTGCCGAGACGGCCCCTTCTGCTAAGACTGCTGCGGCGGCCTCAGCGCAGGCTCGTCAGGGTAGGGCACGTCGGGCCCGGGGGGTGGGGGGGGCGTGGCGGCGGGAGGGGTGGTGGGGTGGCGGAGGTGGCGGCGGTGGTGGAGGGGACGTTGGTGCAGACGAGGGGACCGGGGCTGATGCCCCGGTGTAGCAGCAGGAGTAGCAGTAGCAGTAGCAGCCACAGCAATAGCAGCCGCAGTTGTAGCCGCAGCAATCGCAGGAGCAGCAGCAGCAACAGCCGTGGGGCCGTCTTCCTCCGGGGTGGCCCAGCACTTCTAGTGGTAGTGGCCGCGGTGGCGAACCTCGCAGCTCAGCGTCGGGTGGAAGCTTCCGCCCGGTGGGTTGTCAGTACCAGCTCCAGACTAAGCCCCTTCGCGGTACTGTGTGTGGGCGTCCTAGTCACAGTGCTGCCTGCTGCTTCCGCCGCCTCTACGACCTCTTTCGTCTCCGCTTCGGCCCTACGCCAGACCTCCCTGACTGGCCCAGTTTGGTACGCCGCCGTATGCCGGTCTTTGAGATGGACATGGATTAGTTTTACTCTTTGTTGTATGTCATGTATGATGATAACTCTAGTGTGACCGTATCTCATTACTATGTGTTGCCTAGTATAGGTGTGCCTCCCGTGTGTATTCTAGGCTCCCGTGCTGCGTCAGGCGTAGGACTTTCTGTTTTGTTTAGTCTAGGCTCAATGCTAGCCTCTCCGCGGACTGACGCTACCACTTCGCTCTCTTTCACACTCGACTCTGGAGCGTCTGCTTGCTTCTTCCGCGACCACACTGCGCTCACGCCGCTTGCCGCCCCTGCCGCTATCGCGCTAGTTGACCCCTCTCCCGGTCCGGTAGTTGCCCGTAGCTCCACCACTATTCCCTGTCTGGCGGTACCCTCCGGCTTTCTTACAAGCTTGCACACCCCCTCGTTCTCCAGGAACCTAGTTGGTGTCGATCGTCTTCAGAACCTCGGCGTCACCACTACGTTCCCCGGACCCGAGCGGTACACGGTCTGTACCAAGGCTGCCACAGGTGCCCCCCTCACCACGTTCCCCCGCGACCCGGTGTCTGGCCTGTTTACGCTTGACACTACGTCCCCCACCGTAAGGGCGTTCCCCCAGGTACTTGCATCTACCCAGGTTGCTGCGGCTTGCTCGTGTTAGTCGCTCATTCACCCGTCGCTTCTTTGGCACCGCCGCCAAGGTCACCCCGCACTCCCGCGGCTACGTCATATGTCACACCACAGTCTTGTCTTAGGTCTCCCGGCGTCGCTCCATACCCTCTCTCCCTCGCTTGTGCCGCCGTGCACGCCCTGCGCCGTGCTCGTCACTCCTCCTCGCTTCTCCCTACATCTGCGCCACTCCAAACCCTGACCTGGACGTCTGGGGCCCAGCCCCCGTCCCTGGGTCGTGTCGAGAGCGCTACTTTCTAGTGCTTGTCGACGACTACACGCGTTACACCACGGTGTTTCCTCTAGAGCGTAAGGCCGACGTGTCTGACATTCTTATCTCGTGGGTCGTAGCTGCGTGCGTCCACCGCGGCCTCCCCATGCTGTGTCTCTTCTCCGACAGTGGCGGTGAGTTTGACTCCGGTCGGCTTGGCCACTCTTGTCGTGCGGAGGGCATCACCCAGTCGTACACCCTGCCGAACTCTCCACAGCAAAATGGGTTTTCTGAGCGACACATCAGTTTGGTCATGGAGGTGGCTCGTACCTCCATGATCCATGTCGGTGCACCCCATTTTCTGTGGTCGTTCGCTGTTCGCTACGCCGCTCACCAGCATAACCTGTGGCCGCATTCCCAACGGCCGCAGGTTTTGCCAACCCTTCTCTGGACCGGGTTCCCTGGTGACGCGTCTGCGTTCCACGTCTGGGGTTGCCTTGCTCACGTTCGTCCCTCTGGCATGGACAAGCTCACTGCTCGCACTGTCCCCTGTGTCTTCCTTGGTTTCCCCCTCGACGCGTCTGACTGGCACTTTTACCACCCGACGACTCACCGCTTCTTTCACTCGCGTGACGTCACTTTTGACGAGTCTGTCTCCTTCTACCACCGCTTTCACCACCGGGGTCTCCTGGTTTCCCCGCCCCTATTTCTGGTTCCCACTTTCCCGGTAGCCGCTGCTCCTCTCCCTCCCCGTCCTGCCCTGTCTGGTGTGTCTCACGTCACTCCCCTCCTGTCGGTTGTCCCGGTCGAGGATTCGGCTGACTATGGGGGCCCTGCGGCTTCGGTTTCGCCGCCTCTCTCCAGCCTAATGTCTCCTCCTCTGCCGCCCTAGCAGCAGCTGCCGTTATTGCCGCCGCAGCAGCCGCCGTCACCACCGCTGCCGCAACTGTCGTGGCCCCCTACGGGGCTGCCTTCGCGGCTGCAGTCGCCGTCGCTACAGCTGCAGTCGCTGTCGCCGCAGCCACAACCGCCGTAGGGGTCTGCAGGCTCTAGGGGTGCGGGCGTTGAGGAGGTTGCTAGTCCTGGGGTTGGCATTGTTCCCGGAGGGGGTTCTCGTTCTGGGGGTGTTGGTGTGGAGCGTCCTGAAGGTAGCCGTGGTGCAGTTGGAGGATCTGGTGTCGGCGAGGAGCAGCAGCAGTCGCCGCCGGTGTCCGCCCTTCGACTCCTCGGTCTTCCCTCCCCTGACCTCACGCCTGCGC